ACTTTCCTGCAGTTTACGCACGATTTAAAACACGACCGGTTCTTCAGGACTCTCATACACACAGTTATCTACATGCAGGCTTACTCCTACTGCTCTGCTTCAGTGAGTCTAGGTGCCTGCTACGAGCTTCTTTGTTACTGCCTCCTGGTGCTTGAGTGAAATGACGTGCTTACCTAAGTCTTTGCAAGAAAAGGGGCTCAATCCGGCTGTTGGAGATAAGGTTTAGTACGTAAATACGGGGAACAGAGCCTTGCGCCTGAGGGAGTGACGTTGGGTTGGTAGCAGGACCGGAACGAAGTTCAGCCCTGCCTTAGTGATAAACGGTGCTCGGTGCAGCTCCGAGTTACTGTGTCGCTGCTGCCGGAGTGCGCAGACACGGTGTCTGTAGGCACCTCGCCCCGTTTTCCTCCCGCCATCCTCCTCCTCTCTTGATATACCTGGCGGATTAGATGTGAACGCTTCACCTCTACCGATCCCTTAAATTAAAAAACATGATTTACATTTTACACAAGCTACTGTCTATTGTGTGTGTCTTCCTCCGATGTATTTTTTCCCCACTTGCTGTGAGAGTGAAACTGAGCTGAAAATTGACGGATCTAATCTGGGCGGTTGATTGTATTTGTATTTCCTGTGCTGCAGGAAGATCTTCTGAACTCCCTGCTCCCAAACTCACATCTCCCACCGACGCTGTATTAGGTTTTCACATCGGTCTCTTCACCCTAAGCTTTGTAAACCACTTTTATAAACCGCTTGCTTTTTTATTGTCGCTGTCTGAGCGATCGGCTGGTGTCCGTAAAGCGCTACGTAAATGACAAACAGTATTTTTGTGTTACAAGACAGTCCCTGAAATTGAGGTTGATTTTTGGCCAAGGGTTTCTTTAGAGGAAAAGGAGAGTTCTTGGGGGCAGCTGATGGGGTAACGGTACATTGTGGCCTCCAGAGGGGCACATCTAATGTTCTTCTGTCCCTTCCTCTCCTTCTCTTTCCCCCCGTGTAAAATGGGTGCAGTGCTTTGAAAAGCACCAGCTCTCTACATAAGCGTACTAAGTACTCTTGATAACCCGAGGTGGCTGACGGGTTTTATTGCGTGGTGGGGTGTTTTTCTTTCTTATTAACGAATATTATTCTACTGTCTCTTCGTTTTAGTGAGAGTGGTTTCAAAATCCAGTGGGTCGATGATACGCACGCCCTGGGAATCTTCTCCAGCCTGTCTACAGGTAGCGTGACTCGATTCGCGGCTGCGACCGAGGGACCCGCTGGGGTTCCTCTGCTCTCGCACAGTGACCCCGTGCTGACGCGGTGGTTTGCAGTGTGCGTCTGTCGAGTCTTGCGCTCGGGCTAAGCCGTTGCCAAAGGTAGTTACGGTTCATCACGTCTTTCTTCCTCCGCTTCAAACTTGAAAGGCTTTTCAGGCTTGAGGAGCTGGAGTTACTGTGTGTTGTGTGGAAACTCTGCTGTGCAAGAACAGCAGGTTTTTAATTGGCTTGGATAAGAACCAGGGCACCTTTTGTATACGGAGCGACTTGCGCTGCGCTTCTAGAAATTAATCTGTTTTGCCACTTCAGTTTTTCTTCTCTTGTAACTAGACAAAATTCCTGCAAGCGTACAATAACCTCCCGGGGACCTTACGTGTGCGGTGGCACTCGGGTCAGACACCAGGCCTCCTGGCAAACTGACCTTCTCGGGGACAAACGCCCCAAGCTCAGGTCAGAGCCATCCCAAGAGAAGTTTCCATCCAGCAGCGTATGTAGTCCAAAAGCTTATGCTTTTTTCTTGGGATTTAGTCTAATAATGACAGAGTCGTCTCTTAAAACGTGTTTATATTTTCTTGAGGCTTTCCCTGCGTGAGGAACGTGTGATGTAAGCCTGAGGTGACCAGAATGAGTTTAGCTGTTCTAGTACAAGTCTGGAGATAACGCATCGGCTGCTGAAGCTCAAATTACTCAGTGTTATTATACCGTGTGCAGATTTTTATTATTAAAGCCACTAAAATTCAGTCTGCTAATTTCAGTAATCTTTGTTCTTTGAAGCATCTCAAGCCCTGGGGCGACGTTATCCTTCTTTAAAGATCCGACCACTGATCCATGCAACAAAGCAGTCTAAGATCAAGGCACTTCAACGACCAAGTAAGACAATCTTTTTTTAAATTATTATTAGTAGTATTTCCTGGTTTACCAGTCTCCTGTATCCCGAGTGGTCACGATGACAAGTTAATGGGGAAATAAATATATGTTAAGGACCGGTATTTCTTTCTTGTTTTGTTTTGTTTTTTTTTTTTTTATAGCTTTATTGGCATTGCAGGACAGTGAGCTGTTGTGTAGAGTCTTCAGTAAAAGCCTGCAGATGCTTTTTTTTACAGTATTTTCAGCCAACCCGTATCGTAGTTATGTTAAAACTCACTGCCTCAGTAATGCTGGTTTCTGCCTGTTTGCAGCAGGCGTGAGTGGCTGGCAAAGGTGGATGTGATGACGAAAACAACTCTGCAGCACAAGACTGCGTTCTGTACTGCTTACAGGACAGATAACCGCAGCTGGTACCTGTGCTTCAGTTTTCAGTCGCTCCTCCTCCCCTCCAGACGAGGACTGAATAAAAAAAGCATCAAATCCTTTTTGTTTACCCTCCAGCTAGGCCGTTTGCTGAAATTCAGGCTTAGTCTTTGTTGTGTTACGCGCTTCGCTTGTGTAAAGGTTGAGGGGAACAGCTGCGTCGTTCGGCAGCCTGGTGTAGCTGCCGCAGTGACCGCAGGGAGACAAGGCATGGCAAATGCCATCAGCCCGCCCAGTGAGCTCCCCTGCCCCGTTACGCTGCGCGGTTAAAGATAACAGATGAGACAAAACCGACAGCAGTTGCGTTTTGTGGTTGGCATAGTTTTATTCAGTATCGGGTGAAGGAAAAAAATTAAGCTTAGCCATTAACAGTGTTTTATTTACTTTATTGCCTTTTAAAATCATATTGTAATCAGTTATACTTGCCACAGTAAAGAAATGCCATGAGTCTTGTAGCAGTAGAGACTTTGCTGAAGGTACAACTATACTGTTATTGCTACAGTACATTGCGGTTGAAACACATTTCAGTATTAATGCTTTAAAGGGACACTGTCACAGTTAAAGTTCCTGAGTTTTTAAGACTGCTAGATGTAAATGAAACGTCAAAGAACTGGATTTGTTTTGCGCTCTCCCCTTCATCTCTTTTCATTCACGCTTCCTGATTCCTGTTGCTGCAGCCTATCGGCATGCTTCTGGATCAGGTTATAAACTCCTCCTGCGGAACGTTAGATATAAACTCTGTTTGCGTTCAGTTTAAGTAGCAGGTTTTTTCCAAATACAAATTTGGATCTTAAGTAGCTGACAGTGTCTCTTTTTTTTTTTCTTTTTTTTTCGTGAGCTTTGTTAAGAAAGAGTGGCAGTTTTGTTTTCCAAGCTGCGGATGCTTTGAGTCTGCCCCTCTTTCTTTAAGCTGCTGATGGGCTGCCTTTATTAATAAAACTTCTGAAAAAGCAAGCAAAGCCCCCATTGCTAACTGGATAATAAATTTGCAAACAGTTGCTGATAAATGATTAGGTAATTGCCAAATCCAGACTACTGTGGACTTGGTGAAGTTCTGGTGTATTCATTTCTTGTAAGATGAAACTGTAGCAAGCCAGGTGTCTACCAGAAAATGGAGGTTACTGGCCAAAGGGCTTTCCCAAAGCATCTGATATATTTAGCTATTTAAAAAAAAAAAAAAGCAGGTTTTTTCCTTGCTGCTTTCTGAGGATTAAGACCTCTGGTTGCGATTAGTCTAAATTGAGATCAAACTTTCCTGTGCATGGATAAATTGGTTGGACTGTGCGCCTTCACTTTGTTCTCAGAAATGTGACTTGGTGAATTTTGCCAGGAACGCTTAGGAAGCTGTTCCTGAAAGCGAACGGGGAACAACTCTCTCTACCACTGCAGAAAAGGCCTGGAGCTTAATCGTAGCCAAATCGCTCTTGAACTGTCATTGAAAAGTCTGAAGTGCAAAGCTTGGAGGCACATCTTTCTAAAAGAAAAGGCAGCTTACTGGATAGGGATAGAATCACTTGCTCATGCTCCTGGGCTAATTCTGTAAAGGAACTAAGAAAATAGAAATCAGCCCTTCTGTCTGCCAGTCCTATAGTTTAGCCACAAGACTGTTCCTGAACGAGCACTAACTTAATGATTTTTCACCCGTTTTTACCTAGAGCTCCTTCACCTTGCGAAAGAAAGGCCCCAGACTGACACTGCAGTGGCGAAGAGGCTGGTGACCCGGGCTTTGGGTTTGAAGCACAAGCAGCAGGGCGTCTCGGGCACCGAAGCGCTCCTGCCGGAAAGCTTGGACCAGGAGGAATAGACCGTCTCGGCTAGAAAAGATGTATAGATGAGCATGGCTGTGATATTAAAACTGCATGCAGAACAGTGAGTTGCCACGGGGATGTTCTCTTATGGATTAGCACCGTCTTTTCTTTCTAAAGTTGGGAAGGGAACAAGTTTACTGTTCATAAGATCTTGAGCTCAAGAGCCAAGCCCTGCGAGGGTCGCTGTCAGCTCTTCATTATGGAGAGCATCTTGCCCTACTCTGTTTGAAAGTGTCTGGTTACTCGCTGGGGCGCTTGCAGAAAGTAAGGCTGCTTTCAGAAAAGCCTGCTCTATAATTGAAAAAAAAAAAAAGCATTAGAGTAAGGGAACTGTATCTTGTTGGCCAAAATTCAGCTGTAAGCAAGAGCAGAGAGCATCTGCAGAAGTCAAAAAAAATCTGTTTAATGTTTACTTTGTTGTAATGTTACTGTTAAAATATCCCACAAAACTGACAAGCATTGAATGCGAGTGAGTTTCAGGGTTTTTCCTTATTTACATAGTGTTTAACTGACTTGCTTTGTTGCACTGTTAGCAAGGGAAGTTGTCATACACTGATTAGGAAAGCCAGAAGGTGCCAGTTCTGATTTGCCCAGACCCTGGTGTTAAGAGATGCTGCAAGGCACCTTGTTGTGGCCCCAGCAATCGAACATCCAACACATCTCAGACTCTGCTTTTGCTACGCAGTCCGGCATCTTGAGAACAAACGAGAGTTTTCCAACGTACAGTAGGCTAAAAACCTTTGCTAGATGCCACCATCTGGGCCACTGGATAAATGACAGAAATCCTCTGACAGGCGTTAATTAGCAAAAGACTTCCGCATTCTTTAAGCCTCACAACATCCCTGTGAGGTAGGTTACGGAGAGCACAAGTTAGATGCAGCCAGTTTCAACCCCCCTGTGGATTGAAACGGTCAGCTGTAAGTATTCAGTTAACTTTAGCTGCTTGTAGAAGTCTTCCGTACAAACACAGAGGGAGAAAACACTTCAGTACCAGGAATTGTGAACAAGGCCCTAAACTTTCATGGAGTAGAAATACACAAATGGCATATAAAACATTTTTCTGGGTAAAACGTTTTTATTCAAGTAGCTGTGTCTGCAAATCTGTAGCAATGTGCGTCCTCAAACAAACAGAGGAACGCACTTAGCACCATTATGAATTTACCAAGTGTAAAAATCCTTTTGAAGACAACTTACACAGGTGGGTCTGTGACAGCACAGGTCCAGATCCCTGATGATGAACGCCACGACCTTACCTCTGTAAGGTACAGTGATGATACAATGCCTTAACTAAATTCATCCTTTAAAGAAAAGACAGAGCGAACATCCAGCTTAGAAGGTAGTATTTAGATGTACGTAGAATCTATTGGGTGACTAGCTTACTGTGTCATGGAAATTCACAGTCCAGCGGACTCATCATCAGGAGATCTGCAAAGTCTTCTAGATGTCACAAGGGAGGTGTAGCTTCATGGAGCCCTGATGCACTTGTAGAAGACAGTTCTGCATTAGCTGCTCCGCTTAAGAGATTGTGTTGGGAGTTGATTGTTGAATACAAGAGTTTCACTGCAGTATTAAATTATGCTTTACACTGTTCTGCTCAGAAAAAGCCGCTCCTTTTTTTTTTTTCCTTTCCTGTATTTCTTTGCTAAAATGGAGTAATGACATGGCGGTACTGAGGGTTAGCTGTGTTCAAGAAGCAGCGTCACAAATGGAGGCATTTGCATCAATGGTGCGTTCAAGCTTGAGTCAAAGAGCTTAAAGATACCAAGATTAATGCCTTAAAGAAAATGAACGGTAAAGCCACACTTAGGTTGTTGGTACCCAAACAAAGGCAAACTGTGCCTGCTGCAGCCTGGACCTACGTCTGCGAGTAAAGATGGTGCTGCAAAGTGGAGGGAGAAATCTCTGGAGAAGGCTGGAATGGTGAAGATAAGGAGCCAAGTAGAGTTTAAAAGCCTGCTCCTAACTACCTCAGTAGTAGGGACTGGAGTTACAGGAGACGCATGGTGGTCTGAGCACCTAAACTGGGAAGGAAGGCATCTTTAGAAAATAATTTACCTTGCTAATTTAGAGTTTGATTGTTTGCTTGATTTTCTTTTTTGTGCAGTGGTTAGGGAAGTCGCCGAAGCAGGAAACCTCGCTTCTTTAAATAGTGGGGTGGGAGGCGATGCTGTTCTATCGGGTGGACACCTTGTTATTTGTGAGTCCGCTGAAGTGCTCAAACTTCTGTTCCGTTTCCTCACTGAAAGAGCCACCTGGGGAGTTCACAGAAAGAACACGCAGGGCTGAGCAGGAGGTAGCAAAGGCAGCTTGCAACACAAGGCAGAGAACACACCGGGGTTTTGTGTAATCTGCAAAAGACGCTGTGGAAGTGAAGGGCTCAAAGCAAGTACTAGAAGAGCAAAGATTTTCCTGGGCTAATTAATCGAGGCATTAATTAAATCTTACCATAACTGGAACAGCCAAGAGTCCCCAGGAGTACTGGACCTAGTCTTTTATGTATTTGGAAGACCAGACTACAAACTACCCTCCATTTCACTGCTAACCGTTGTTGCTTAAAAAAATTAGGTGATGACTCTTTCTTAAGTAGGACCATGCCCTTACTTTTTGCTAGTTGAGAGGCAATGAAAGCCAAATACACGTATTTTTAAATAGAAATAGCTTCAAGCTCAGCTGGAGAGCTGAAAAAACCCAACAAATTAATGAGAAAAATCAGTGGTTACATGGATTTTTTTTTTTCCAGGATAAACACTCCTTGAAGAACTTCAGCCAGCTCTGGAAATTGTCTTCACCACTGGTTTTATTTGGAGGTTGGCAGGCAGTTGCTGTTAATTTATTTTCTGTGATAAAAACAGTTTACCTTACAAAGCCCCCAACTTAATTCCATTTTAACATGGTCTTGACGATTGACCGTTAAAGGAAACTTAAACTAGTTTGGCTTTGATAGTTCCAAGACCAAAAAAAATCCCAAGTGATAATGTTTTACATGTATTCAAGAAAATACACAGTTTTCCCTCACATTCAAGAGAGAGCAGAGCACTTTCATTTCTGGCTTGAGCAGAGGGCTCTTCTCCACTGCTCTGCTTCGCACATCACTGTTCCTGTTTGCTTTTCAAGAAAGGAGAAGCTTCGGGTCCTAAGAGGCCAGTCCCAGGTTGGTTTGAGTTTGAGTCTGGGAAGAAGTTGTAGTTGTTTGCCTGGACCTACTCAGGCATTGCACGAGCGCTTGCCTTGCGTCCGACAGCCTCGGGAGGGAAAAAGGCTCATTTCCTTGTAGGAGAGAGACAGCTGGAACATGTTACCCCTGTTCTACCAAGCCTGAGGGATTTCTTTCGGATCTCGCACAGAGAGCTGTTTTACCAGTGTTGCGCTTGCTGCTCCAGTAACACGCAGTACAACGCAGCACGAAGTAAGGAACCGTCCCACCCCCATCCAGCCATCGTACTCTTTGCAACCTGTAGCGGCTTGACCCTGTAACGGAGACGCTTTGGTGTCTGCCTTTGAACAGTCTACGGCAAATAGCACCAGTGTAGTTTGGGCTCAGTATCTCGTCTTTCCAAGCACGTACAAAGTGATAAACAGCACAAAAGCACATTGCAAGAGAAGCAGAGAGCATTCCTAGCAAAGAGTCAGCGATGCAGTCATTAAACTTTCCCCTGCAGAAGTCACTCTCACCTATGTGGCAGTTGTACATCCAGATGCGCTGCCCATCGTACCGGCTCCTGCATTTCATCACGTTATTTGAATAATCAGACTCAGCAACTTCATAGTTCGGGTTGATGACAACCTAGGGAGTGATGGAGAAACGCAGCATCAAGTTTATTTAAAGGTGGGCTGGACTCAGTCAGACTGAGACAGAATCAACTTTTTCATTACACCATAATACTTTTTTTTTTAACAGAAAAAACCTAACTCATTTTGCAAGGAGACAGAAACTACTTGATTAAAGCCAGATCAAGATCACACCTTCCCCCGTGCACCAAGATTACCCTCAAACACCTTCTCTACATTTCACACGATAGCAGTGCAGACAAAAATAATTCCTCTTCCCTTCGCTCCTCCCCAGTTTAAGTGGCTGTTTTTAGAACCAAAGAATTCCCCCCACTCCACCCACTTGCACAAAACAGACTGTGGGCCCACTCTTAACTCCTCATGCAAACACCACCAGAATAGCACTATTTAATCCCCAAGTGAAGTGAGCGTTGCTTACAAACAGCTCAAAAGCTTAGTACCACAAGACAACAGCGGGATGCTGGGCACGTATGTAACGTGACCTGTAACGCAGCGCGTTAACAGCGTTAGCTGCACATGGATTGTGTAAGACTGTCAAGTATTAGCTGGACGAGGATTGCTTAAGGCTGTAATCTCTAAGCTGTGGTTATTGGCTCCGATTTTTCACTTGGGGATGTGATCTGGTAACACTTTGTTGTCCTGTTAGGTAATTCTTTATCTTTTAGGTATCCTGGGAATATCATCTCTTTGTAATGGGAAGTTTATAGTACTGTAGGAGATGTACAAATAAACCAGTTAGTTACGTTCTTGACATCCCTAACGGATAAGATAAAAGCAACGGCAGTGTCTCAAGCCCTCTTTTTCCGCCGTACCTGGAAGAGGTAATCGCCTGGTGGGACATCAGTAATATCGATCCACTGGCAGTCGATGTCATGACGGTACACGTCCCAGCATCCAACTGTGATTCCTTGTTCACCAAAATTGGCGCATTCGTACTGTTTTTGCACGTCTAAATGAGAAGAGTTAAAGGCACAAAGTGTTAGACTGGGGCTAGGAATTTCCCACCCTCGGACACGTCAGAGGAAGGGCTGGTTGTTCTCCAGCTCCCATAGACAGCGATAAGCTACAGGCACAGTATTTTGGCTGAGATTTAACACAACGGTGCCTTGTATCGAAATACACGTGCTGCTTAACTGCACGGGAGGAGCTGCCGCCTTCCATAGCTCATCACCTAGAGGCACGTTTTAGAATTTCTCACTTTACAGGAATCCGAAAACGCACGCTTAGTTTTTCAGAGCAGCTCAGAGTAAGGACGCAAGGAGCTGAGGCCTGAAAGCCCTCAGCATGTGGGGCCTCCCGGGGATCCTCTTGTACCTGTAGAGACCGCTTCGTACATGCTGGCTCCTGCCAGCCACGTTCTAGCCCTGCTCGGGACTTCAACAGCACCTTTGAAGCCAGTCATCTGTATGGGGACAGCAATAAATTCCCGGCCCAAAGGGCTCTGGCAAATATACCTGCTTCGCATTCGGTGTCTTCCAGGCAGAAGCTGGCTTTGTGTCCTTCAGCCACCTTGGTTCCATTGAGGTTCAATAGATCATAGTGGGTAAAAACCTCCATGCTGTGGTAGTGCCTGCAAGGCACAGACAGGGAGAATTATCTTTAGGGAACACAGACACCCCTTTAATTACCAGGTCTAAAGGGCTGCACAGTCTGCCCCAGCAGAGACGGCCCAGGGGCTGGGGCACAACGACTTGGATGCGAGTAGCCCAGACTCGACTCTTTGCGCTGTTGCATCCCTCGGGCCAGGCATTTCACCTCCCAGCCCCAGGGCCACGGGGGTAAATACACGACAACACGTGAAGTGCTACGGACCAAGCGGTGCTACAGGAGGAAGAGCGAGAGAAACCAGAGCCAGGAAATAGTCCCCTGGGCATAATCCTACATGGCACCATCACCGATGCCGCCTTCATGCTGGCTCCTGACCCGGCTATTTGTTTACCTATCAAGTGCTAAAGCTCTTCCAGGGGAGAGCCTTGCCCCAGCCTTCATAGCATCACACCACGTTTTATAATGGCAAGGAAGGGAAAAAAAAAAATTAAAGCCATCATCAGCCAGGTCATGATTTCTAGTGGCCCTGTCATTTACCAGAACAAGAAATACTTCACCTGCTCCTTAACAACAGGCTGCAAACAGAGCTGGAGGTACCCAGGCCAGCAACCTGGCTACTTCCATTTATTTATTTATTGTTAAGTAGCAGAATGTAAATTTATTGGCAGAAAACTAACAACAGATGGAACCAGCTTCTCCCGGCACTCGCTCCGCTCAGATCTAAACAACCCGACAGCTGGGTTCACACATGATACGTTTCATAATTTTAAACGGGGAACTGTTAGTGTCAACTCCGCCTGAGCTGGGCCGCTATCAGGAATGCTCCAGCGCTGCTGGGCACAGCAGCAGTTGAGAGAGAGCACGCAATCTGTGCTGTAGCCCCCTGACTAGCAAAGTGAGACCACAGCAGGGTTTGGGTGATGTTGAACTCTGTAACGTCGACATTTTCTATGCCACACTGTTGGTTCAGCAAAAAATTAAGCCTGTGCTTTGGTCTAGTTGAAGTCCACGGGACTTGCAGAGCAAGAAGCAGATGGAAGCACCCAATTAAAACACAGTTGCGTGCTCCACGTGGTCAGGGCTGGGCACATAAACGCGGTCACGCTGATGCAACACACTGAATTTGATCCCAGCTTTGGAATCGGGAGCAAACCCACAGCGTGAGCACATTGCGGGGACAGGAGAGCAACCGCGGGTGCCGAGAGCAGAGTGGGTCCTTAAATCTCTGCACGTCTGCCCCAGCTATGGGAGCACTGAGACACACCAGAGCCCGTCTGCATAGCTCGACTGAGGAGTGAGGCAACTGCACAGCCAGGCCCCAATTCAAAAGCCATTCCTTAGGAGTTTAAAAAAAAAAAAAAAAAGTGCAGAAATCCTCTCCTTTCTGGCTGTAAATATAATCATGGCTTAAAAACTTCCAACCACCATTACTGCAGCATCACTCTGCACACATATTTACAGATAAAGGAGGACCAAGGAGGGAAGGGAAGGAAACTTTTCCTCTAGAGAGTGGGTTTCTTACCACCTCCTGCCTTTTCCCCCCCAAAAAAAATAAAAAAAATTGCCACCTGCCAGAAGTTAATCACTTTTCACACCCTGCTACAGGTCTTTCCCATTTTTATTCTACTTCCACATCAAAAGCCAACTAAACAGAAGCTCCCAGTGATGGGAGCGAGGCAGCTAGGAAAGAAGAGGCATTCTGCAGCGGCTGAGCTGTTGACTTTGGGGCTGTCTCATTTGGCTGCCTCTGATAAAAGTTTGAGGTTCTCAAGTCTGACTCAGTTTCTGAAATATGTCTGAGTCATTCAAGGAGGTGTTTACATTCTGGTGTTTACAGACTGGAAAGATTGAAGACGAACTGAGTTCATCCTCCTCCATATAAACAGAATCCAGTTTGAAGCGCACAGATGGCTCTCGGCCTCTCCCTGATCCTTTCCCGGTCTCACCTCACTTATGCAGTCTCTCCCGAAGAGCTCCGAGTGCCCTCCTTTCTAACCAGCCTGCGACGTGCTCAGAGCCTTGCGGTACCCGCGTATTCACCCAGCCCCTTCCCAACAGGGCCAGAAAGGCAGACACTCGCACTGCACTGGTCCAGGTTTCCTCCTCCCCTAAACATACCGTAGCCTATTTACCTTCTGCGCTGCCAAGGTTTTAGCTCTGCTTGTGCCTCCGACCGCAAACTTTACAAACCAACCTGTCTGCGGGGTAAGTGGCCAACGTTTGCCCCGCACCACGACCTGAAGCTTCAGGCTAGTAGCACTGCAGCATCGGGCCGCTGATGCAGTGCTACCTACACGTCTCGCCTCGCTCACGCTGCTTATGAAGACTATAAAGGACCGTTCGATTTGAGAATTTACTGCTCTGATGTTTTCACAAAGCGAAAGTCTTAAAACAGTAGCAGGACGAGAGCTGCGTGCTGTGAGTTACTCAGCTCCCTTTTACCCCAAATTAGAGAAAAATCAACCTTGTTACAAGCCCTCACTTCAGAAGCAAAGCATCTGGATGGCTTGGTTCCAGTTCTCTTTCCTCCCCCTGGTTTACTTTGGCTGAAACTGTCAGCTTCCCCCTGAAAAATGATGCATTTATAGGGGTGAATTTACTGTTTGTCAAAAATAAGCACAGAACGATCTCCCGGCTGTACACAGTTTAAGTGGAGTTGAGATGCATTTAAAAAAAATGCAGAATTACAGGATGTTCTTGAGTCCTTTCCCAGGTGAGGGAAGCAGCTCAGATGGCTGCATCTTTCTACACACAACGGGTGCGCAGGCACACGCTGCCTTCTGTCTGTACATACGCGTACTCCCATGTGTGTGCTGTCCTTGCACATACATCCCTCACGACGAGAGCTCTACATCCGTCTTGTTCACGTACCAGTTTTTAACTGCAATTTCTACTGTAATAAGCTGGTTTCCCTGCTGTCAGAGGATGACAGCTGCCCTAACGCACGTCACAGCTCTGCAGCCGCGGCTCCAGCGTTTCAGCCCTGTACTCCCACGGCAAAACAGTCCCCCCTGAGCAGCAGAAGAGGACGGAAGGAGGCACCGACCGTGCAAAACTGTCCTCGTGGCACTCACCGGTGACAGTCGTGCCAGACCCAGGCGTGGCGGCCGTTCTTGGGGCGGAAGTCGGACTGCCCGTTGTTGTGGATCTGGGAGGAGAAGCGCAGCAGGCGCCGGTACCCAGAAGTGACGGAGGTGTTGACGGCCGAGCTGGCCAGGCAGTTCTCCTCGAGCGCGCACTGCAGCATGAACATTGGGCGGTCCTCCAGGTAGGCCGTCTGCTCCACCAGCTCGGCGTTGAGCACCAGGTCAGGGGCAGCTGGTAGGAAGGGAGGTTTAAAATTAACTGATGGGCTACTAAAAAACCCCCACAAGCGTATGCCAGAGATGGAGGCCAGCCCCTTCCTTGCACTGTATTTCTCAGCCCCATCAGCAGCAATTTGCCGCTGTTTTGACGTATCCAAGGCATAGCATGGGCCAACCCCATTTCTCCTGCATATCTCGGAGCAAACACTTATGCCAAAATGAAATAAAACCCGAGTTACTCACTCTCTGAGCAGGACACACCAGCACCAAAACGCCCACCTCCTCTGGGACAGGAGACATCGGCTCCATCGTGACGACAGTGGGCCAGGGACATCTCTGTCCCCGAACACTTGACACCGCTCATGACTACGTTGTCAGCGCTGATGTCTCCATGCCAGTACCAGGTTTCCTGGGCAGAAGGGCAGAAAAAGGCATTTCACGCGCCCTTCAGTGTTTAGAGGACCGCTGGAGGAATATTCATCCCCCTGTAACTTGCATTCCCCCTCCAGGGAAGGTCAGTGCAAGAGCCAACACTATCAAGGAGACAGATGTTGCCAAAGGATGCTGGAGCAGAGCAACTCGGGGAATGAACCCAAGTCTGTTTAAGCAGAAGGCTGGGACTGGGATTAAAACCCAGGCTGACTGCGTTCCCTGCCCTGAACGTCTGACCAGCATTAAGCAAATCTCTCTCCTTGTTTCTGAGGTGGTTTAAATCTCTGCTTGTGTTTAATCCAGCTGTAAACTCACTTTTCCACCCTGCTCTGCCCATCCATCTGATTAATTCATCCTCGGGCTGTTCTAAGTCATCTAGGCTGTGCCTTTGGGAGAGATGCCCAGCAATTAAACCTCATCTGTCTTGTGACATCTGTGCACTTGGGAGGGCCACAAGTAATGCCAGAGGGCCTGCTTGCACAAGGAAGGGAGGCAGAATTAACAGCCACGCTGGAAATGCCAGTGGAAACAAGGCATTTGAGGAGTACCAGGACTAACGGGGTCTGCATGTCTTGGGTCTGAGGGGGGGATTCACAGATGTTCAAACGCTGCTCAATACTCATCTTCATCACCCAGTTTTGTAAAACTTGTGGGAATGACAGAAAATTAACTCACAATACCGCTCACAAAACTAAGTGCGCTAAACCCTAATGAAGCTGCAACTGCAAAGCTTGGGAGAAGGGGAGGGAAGAAAGAAGGAAAAAAAAAGAATCAGATCTGTTAGTGTCAAAACTGGGGGTATGTTTCCAGGAAAAGAAAACCCATCTGTACCATTGCTTCCATTGCAACAGGCTGTTTGTTAACCCTGTTAGCAACGCTCTTTGCACACACGCACACAGGGCTGCCCTGTTCTACACAGTGTAGCTTTATGCTCATGTAGCTGGTGCAGCTGGTATACGCATAAGGGCCTTTTCTGTTCTAAATACCAGCAGTCTCGGCTAAAGGAAAAAACGTCTTGTTTCTTGCTGGACTCTCAGGGCTATGTCAATAGAGGCAGGCAGTTGGAAAGGCCAGCGTTCAAGGGACTTGGCCATCCTCAGCTCTTGCGCTCTGCTTGGCAGCTACGCAAGCAAATCAGCTGGAGGAACCAGCTTGCACGGGGGGATTGCTGCAATAGTGGCATGGGCAGCTCCAGCCTTCTACCTCCTAGGTATCTGACCGCAGTGTGTCCCTCGGGGACCTGCAGGTCCCCTCTCTGGCCATGGATAACAGTTAAATTGGTGGGAATCTGCCTGCCCACAAGCCCAGCGTGTCCTGGATCCCGGCTTGGTCACTCCTTAAAGACAAACCCATTGCAGGACTGCGCTCTCCAGGCAGAGTTTTAACTGTCCATTTCTGCTTACAGTCTCTCCTGCTTTCTCAACAGGCAACAACCAGCCCCAAGAATGCTGAGGCTATTAGTCATTTCAGGGCCTTATTGTTCCTCCCTGCACAAAACCAGCAGGCAGTCAGCAGAAACGCTCATTCTTACTGGGTTTATCGCTGCAGCCCAGCGGAATCGGCTGCGTCTGAATGCTGAGCAGGCCAGACACAGCACGAAAATACAGCAGAGCCGACCGGACCCTGGGCTTGGAGCACGGGGACAGCCTCCGCTCCCTGCAACCGCATTTTACTTGCTTGCCCAAGTTTTTGATTTCCAGAAATTGTTTGGGGAAAATAGTTTTCTTTCCAGAACTGATCTAAGGCTGTTTTCTGTGTGCGGGTTTCATCTATATAAACACACATGAAGTTTATTTATTCGGTGGCCATTTGAGCCTAAGTTCCCCCCAAAGCTGCTGGCGATTGTTGATTCTCGGTTGAAATGCCTCAAAGTGGCTGCATTTCCAGAGCACAGCAAGACATCAAGTTCTGGCAGGGGATTACTTTGTCCTAGGGAGAAACCAGTTTATTTCAGGAGCCCAAATCCCCATTTTCCCAGTGTCTGGGAACTGCAATAAAGGCCCAGAGGTTATATATTTCCTTTCAAAATCTACCATTAGACCTAGGTCTGCCTGCCCCTCTTTCACCTTGTGATCCTTGAGGGATGCATCAGTACAGAAGAGTATCTTGCACCAGGGTTATTGGCCTACACCAACTGCTTACATGTGATGCCATTTATCCATCTGGGAACTGGGTGGGAAGCCGTTGCCTTCCCTCCTTCCAGCTCTTACGGTCGCTGCTTGCTTTCCTCCAGCCAGCACAGCAGGCTGCCGTTCGCTGTGCCAAAGAGGTTTGCTGGGAAAGAACACTTTATTCCTTTGTGGTTATCCCAAGCTTGTTAGTTGGTAGCTTTTATCCCTTTATTAAGCGCCATTCTTAGTCGTGTGCAAGCAGGGAGGGTTTAGGGCATTTGTCATTAGAGGAGCAAGAAATGCATACAGCTCCACCACACACTAGTGTACACACTGCACTGAGAAGTAACTGCAGGATTGTAGTTAAATCAAATTGTTTTCAAGTGATTTGACACCAGGTTAGACTTGGCTTCCACACTTCAGTCAGCCTGAGGAGTTCAACTCCCCACTGACTCAGGGAGGGACAAGAAACTGCATGTAACCACCAGCACAACCAGGGCTAAGGGAGTCAGGCTTACCCAGGAAATCTGAGCCCTGAGCAGCATGAAAACAGCAGCTTTGCCCAGAGCTGCAAGAGCTCTTTCTGCTCTGAATCTCCCCCAATGGTTGTTGTGCAATGAGGTTTAACCTTTAGGGTCTCTCCAGCTAATGCCTTGAAGCTGAACACTGTGGTTTGTGGGTTTGTTTCTTTAATAAGCCTTCCTCCTCCTCCTCCAGTAGCCCCTACCCAACCACACACATGCCACACATCTGAAACACACGCACGGGAGGGCACAGGGACTCACCTGGAAGGCATGGCTGGCGAACCCCAGGCCCAGCTGCCAACACACCACCATGGCCTCTACGGTGCTCCAGTTCTCGCTGCAGACGGTGCCCCACTTCAGAGTGCCGTTGCGCTCTGCCAGGACCTCCACCCGGCCCTCGTAAGGGTTGCGGCCGCCGCTGAGACGCAGCTGCAGGGCATAAAAACTCATACGTGAATAAACGTCGTAGCAAACTTTACAGGGAAGATGTAACAGTTGGGCAAGCAATGCTCAGAGTCTTCTCAAGGCTTGCGGTTAAAGCCACTGAGCCCAGAAACCTCAGTTCAGCTGCTAGCAGACCAGTTGGTGCAGTTTGGTTCTTCATCGCCCACCCTGGACAGGAAGCAGCCTGGCCAAGCCCAGCATCTGAAAGTGCCCTGTACCAGCTGCAAGAGAGTAACACACTCCCTATGAAAGCTTCCCCCCTCCGCTCCCTTTGGACCTTTGGCAGGAGCATTTACCCAGAGGAACCTGCGTCTGCTTCGTGTAGTTAGTTGTTAAGCTCCATGTGACAAAGATGCCAGCAGCCCCCCGGGTACCGCTGTCATGAGACCCAACCAAGATCCCATCACGACAGGGACACGCACCAGCTTTACAGCGCCAGTGGACTGCGCAGGTTGCAGCTGAAGTGGCACTTCACTCATTTATAAGCCCCATCATACTGGGAGGAGCTCAAAGCTCAGTAGAAAAAGGGAGCATCGTCCTTATTTGCCCTCCTGTCTAATACAATGCAGATGTTAAAATCTAAATTGAATAGGCACGGCTTAGGTGAAACGATCCTACCCAGACGCCCTGCACGGCATAGCAAGGGAGGGCAGATGATGCTCCAAGGACGAAAACACCCCACCACGCTCGCTCGCATCCGGATCACTTGGCCCCTCACCTGATTCTGGAAACCCATGGCTGGAACGTTGCATCTCACAGCAGCATCTTCTTCATGGTTACAGCCCTGCGACTCCATGTTGAACTTGCAGTCCGTGACTGATTTTTCAAAGCCCGTACAGTCAATTTCGTTTAGATGAATTGGACCCATGCCTTGGGGAAGAAAAGAAGAAAGAAGAAGAGAGTCCTTACCTTCTGTCCATGCTACTGTGTGGTGAAGAAATATCCAATAACAGTTTATTAATACACTGCAGACATCACACTAGCCTCTAGCATTCAAAACACGGTAATCCTGAAAAATTCCAGTGATTTCTTGTAAAAATAAAACAAAAAGCTGCAAGATTATTATTAATAATTTTACCATTAAATTCTTTCCAGTAGTCTCTGGGACTCAAGCATGCAAGAACCGCAGAAAAAGCCAAGTTTCCATTGTTACATAATTTACAAACTTCAGCTAGAGGAATTTGCAAATTATGACTTTATGACTTTCTGGCTGGGTCTGTATGCCGGAATCTGCTCCCAATCAAGCCCTGACATTTAAACGGGACATAGACACGTTTGCTGGGACAACAAAACATAACACCACAGGGATGTGCGAGAAGTCAGTGAAACAACTCTGGGGGCAGGCGTGTGTTACAGACTCCAACAGCAGCGATGGAAACGAGAGCGAACATCAATTCGTACAGCAGAGAACGGCCTCAAGCTGTTGGGAGCCAAGTTGAATAATTTGGTTCCTCTCTGGACAAGTTGCAGCAAACAATTGTCATTTCCACCAAGAAGAGACACAGCAAGAGGAGAGACACACATATCAGAAGGTGATAATCCTGCCTGTAAAGCTCTCGGGTCCTGTTTCCAAACTGAGCCCCAAACTGGTTAGAAAGAAGTTTTTTTTGGGGGGGATGAATCAGAGGTTCCAGCAGATGATCTTCATCACAAAAGAACAACCAGAGTCTTTCTTGGAGCCCATATAATCCACGAGTAACTGCTGATGGAAACACAGCGGATAGTTTTGACAGGAGATCCCTGCAAGTAGCAGATGGAGAACCTCTGGTCTCCAGCAGTTTCTAGGAAGCTTTCCGAGATGGGAGGCAGAGAATAAAAACACTTCTGAACTTTGCTGTCAACGTGCTCTCTCCGGACTCGGCATAATCAAAACGCTGGCAGATGCTGTGCTCCGGCCTGCAGGTGGCTTGTTTCACTGCAGCCTTTGGCCAGGCGCTCCTGTCTGAGCCGCAGGTGCGCCCGTTTCCGCTCAGCGGCCAGGAGCGGCACGATGATGGTGGCGATGAAAGGCACAAGCCACAGGAGACATGTCCAAGAAAGCAGCATCCACCCACTGATGCCCTTTCACCAGCTCTTTCCACCAGCTGGAAGAGGTTTACCAACACCAGATATAGGAATTGGCGTTCAGTTTGGAGTTCCCCTTCTCAGTATGCATAGCACACAGCGGTAGGCTGCCGGAGGCCAGGCCGACCGATCTGGGTAACGGAGGTAGAAAAGCAACTGTTTTCTTACCATTTCTGACAGTGACTGTTGGTTCTTCACTCCTGCAACACTATTCTCATCATAGCACGAGTGATGAGGGCTCTGCAGAGCCAGAGAGCTGTACCTGTCTCAGACCATTCGAATCAGCAGGGAACAGACCATGGCAATGGCATCCTGGCTGCTGGCTCCGTTTCTTCGTCTGCACCCAGGGACGAGACAGATTTCCCAAAGTTAGAGAGTGGCAGAACTGCCAACTGTGCTCTGACCAACAGCCTCCCGGGCACACACTGCCTCACCATGAACCCTCTTTTGCTCATTCCTCCGGAAAGGAAAATTTTACCCAACTTCAAGCCTGCTCCTTTTAGTTCAAAGGAAAGGGCTAACTCTGGAAGGCAGGAAAATGTAATTGGTTTATTAACAGTAGGTGGGATCCTTTTGCTTAAAAGCCTCTTCCTACTGCCATCTGGAGCCTTTCTAACTCTATGTGGCAGCCAGCACACCTGTGACTCAGAGACCTAACTGTGGGTGACAGTTTAATGACCTGTCTGGTGAACCCCTCACCTCCTCAGACTTCTGCTGAGGCACAGGGAAAACAGAAAAAAGGAAAAAAAATGCTCTCTAGCATATTTCCACAATTGTGTGGTGGAATGAGTCAGGATGTACCCTGGAGCTGCCTTCTGACAACAGCAGCAAGAACAAAGGCAGAGGTGTAAATGTATTGGGTTCAATCTCATCCACAGAATTAATTTGGCTCTGGCCACCTTTTGCACCGTAGCACTTCGGCCAGTCCTGTATCCACCCATCACACAAGATCTATACAATGTGGGAGCAGAACTCCTAGGCTGAGGCCGCTGGGAAATGTATAGCTAGCCTTTTTTGCTTCTCTCTCATTAAAATCCTGTTTGTGGTCTCCATCTGGAAATGGTGACACTGACCTAGTCATTTTACAAGCCAACGAACAGTTTGAGTAGGAGGAACGCCTTGATGCCGACCAGAATGGGAGGGTGATGCACCAAGAATGCAGGATGGATCCAGTCTGACATTCTCCACTGAAACAGCCCGACAAAGTCATACCAATGAAATGACATGGCGCTGATCCACGTAACCCTGGCACATTCGCTCTTCTTGGGGAAAGTTGTTTACGATACGTGGAGGCAGTAAGTGCTGCTGTCCCGGGCACTGAAACGTAGCCAAACTGCATTGCTATATGTGCTGAAACACGGTGATAAAAATTATATTTCCTCCCATGCCGTTCCCTTTAGCATAAGAACAGGATTAGGACTGTGTATTCAACATATACATTCACCTACTGCTTGTGGTTTTATTCTATGTTCTCCCTCCCAGGACGTTGCAGTGGACAACACATTTGGGAGATGTGGGCTCAGTATCTTCCTTTCAGACAACTCTTGTGTGAATAAGGGTAAATTGTTTGATCTGGGGCTCAGTTGCCCATCTAGAAAAGTGAGAATAAATCATCTTCTCCGTACCCTGAACTCCTTGTGGTAGGCACTCATCTCCCACAGGTCACTGTCTTAACTGGGACTTCTAGACACTGCACCCTGATTTAACACGTAGCCCATCTTTATGCGTTTTACCCTGTGAAATTACATCTCCAACACAGCAATGATGAGACTGGACCTTCAAATTAGTCTTTGAACACACAAATTCACCGAGATACAGCTGTAACAAAGCAAAGCGTAAGCATGCACACGGACACAGGGTTTAACAGCTGTGAGACTCCCCAGTGCAACGGGAGCGTGGAGACGAGTTCGGGCCAAAAGAGCTCCTTTTCCTACCACAATGTGATGATCCGGCTGCTGAAGGGAGTTACCAGCCGCTTGTCACCCCAGAGGGCAGTTTTGACAGGGTGCACTGATCGACTGACAGTGTTTAACATTAGAAGAAAGGAAAGCATGTGGGAACCAGCAGCCGCTGCTAAGAGTTTCCAGACTGCAGCTGCGGGAGATGGCAGGGAACGGTGTGTTCTCCTCCCTCCCGTGGCAGCTGCTTCCCCCCCATGACGATTACACTGTTTCCTAGATGCAGCTAAACACATTAGCAGCTCCCTGCATCCCACCGCAAGATTTTTTTGGCAAATCCAATGGACAGGTCACATTTTAAAGCTTTCCAGATTCCGGACACCACCACTGTGCTTTACACGTGTTGTTACTTTCCCTCCCCTTCTCCAAGCCATGCTGGGCTGAAGAAATTTCACCCATTCATTTAGTCTCACATTAAAGGGTTTGGTGTCATTTTCTTTAGGGTTTGCACTATGGGAGCAAGGCGTGTGAATCAGAAGGTGGTTTGAGAGGGCGTACGTTAGGCTTTGAGTTACCATTTACCACAGTTTGGGATTTAAACCAACTCCCAAATACAGGAAATCCAAACCCAAACCTGGCTCTGAGCTGTTCAAATGCCCTTCTATTTATAATGGGCTAAATTAATGTTCTGGTCTTAAATTGGAGAGTGTTTGAAGTCTAGATCCAGGACCCACTTTTGCCAGGAACCTTCTAGTAATGCATTACACCATGATGCGGATCTAGAGAACTCAAAGAGAATTTGAGAGCAGCGGATGTGATAACGAAGAAGTAATTACTGGAACAGCTGTCTGAGGGAAAGGTTAAACTCATCATCACTAGACCTCTTTCAAGGAATCTCAAGATTTTTCTAAGTCCTATATTCCAGTTCGGCCTCAAGCTCCTGGACTCAAGAGACTTATTAAGGGTGGAGAATAAATTCCTGGTCCCCAAAACAAACATCCCAGTAAAAATACACTCTGCCCTGAATCATGAAACCGTTCTCGGAGGTGGACAAGGCACGAACAGTCCTGGGAGCTCTCACGGCTCTTACCTTGCCCAAGCCTTGCGCCCGTTATTGCCTCCTTGGCGCTCCCGAAGCCCAGCTCTCGGCACACCACGCTGGCTGACACCAGGTTCCAGTTATCGTCGCAAACTGTTCCCCACTCCCCGTTTTTCAGCACTTCAACTCGGCCTTCGCCAGTGTTGGCTCCCCCTTTCAGCCTCACCAGTGGTTGCTGGAAGACACAGACAGCAGTGGTGTTACCGCTGCCTAGGAAAGAAGCATCCTTTCTTTACAGCTCTTATTTACAGCGTGTGGCTGCAGGTAAGTTGTGGCCCAAAAAGCATTACCCTGAGGCACCTTAAAACAACCACCACAAAATACAAAAGGCTAAAAGTGCTGGATGAAAGGAGATCTTTATCTGCTAAGACTTATGGTACGCAT